TTGATAACTGACAATTTTTGTAAACAAAGTAATACAGACCACATCCATCACTACCGCCACCACCTCACATCTCCTATTAAAAAGCACTTTTGATACAGAAGGGAGAAAAACTTTGCGACTCAGACTGAGAGAAAGAAGAAATTTTAGATGTACTTTCTCAAAAACAGAACAAAAGTGACTGCAGTAGTAAGAAACGTTAGTCCAGCACTCACAAAGCACTGGGAGTACAGTACTAGTAATAGAAGATGTGATCACTTGCAAAGACAGAATAACACAATCAAGCCGGAATAATCTGCATCTAAGGTAAATCACCTACTTACTGCATTTCAGATAGGCAGTTGAGCCAATGTAAACAGAAACTATGCACTGTGTTCCACAGTATCATAATCTAAAAATGACTGAAACAACTGCACACCGCTTCGTTCACCACATGACGTGGGAAGAACAAAAAGCTCTCACCATTTCTATTGATTTCTATTTCAAATGCATTATGCAAATAAAAACTTCTAAATTTCAAAAGCCTTTTTTATGTAAACACAACATAACCATAACATTTTCCAACACTGGACTATCAGAAAGTGAGTGTGGTTTTACAAGTAGCCTAACACACCAGCATCTACAAGACCGTGAATGTATTCACTGCCAGCGCTTCCCCCAACAGCACTAAGACAAGGATTTTACAGACAAGTAAAGATGGGAAATGTGAAAAAGCCTGCACCACTACTCTTCACAGCATATTCTAGGCAATTCTCACACTTAGCCCTAAAATAAAATGGAACTGTCTCCAGATTACCACTTTTCCAGTTGTCAGGCAAACACACTGTTAACCAGTTAAGGAAAATCAGATGCACATATATAACGAAAATATCTTAAGAATAATTTCAGCTTTAGAATGATGTACTCAAAAATATGGTAATTGCCACATTATTAATCAACAGCCATCTATTTCTTACTCTTCTTCTACCCCTCTTTACCACCACAGAAATAAGTAAGCAAAAAAGCAGATTAAAAGGTTATAGTTTAGCTGGCTGAAGTCTTTAACAATGAACATAAGCTTAAAACCTCAGAACTCGGAGTTTTTCTGGTCACTGTGCTAAAATAAAAGCATACTTTAAAAAATACTGACCACATGCAGAAAAAAAAATATCTTTTTAATCTTAGAATTTAAGTGGAGCATTTTGTATTAAACAGCATTCTCTCTATTTAGAATTTTCCAGTCATTTACTGAAATGTCTAAGTAGCTTTAGTCATTTTTACAATAATGCTTATGAACTCCTCTTTCTCTGCTAAATGGAAATTAAGCCACCTAAACCAGTCACATAATAAATAATTTAGTATCCACCATTAAGATGTCATATATTGCACTTATGTTTTCAAAATATTTTATCATAATCCTAAAATTCCAACTACCCAGAGAAAGTGCGAAGATTTTATGTACCTAAAATACTCAAAGCCATGAAAGATGGCGATAATATGGAGACATTGAACTTAACTCTTCTACAAAGCATTCTACTCCTCTATGAATTGCAAAATAGTATTTTTGATGCTGCACTTTGTAATTTGAATGGTAAACAGAACTTTGTTTCACATGTTTATTCTGAGAACATGTAAGACTGTACAGTAGCACACACCCACGCGTCCTGACAGTCGAGCAGTGGTCCCAGATCCCAGCCAATGCAGACAGACCTTTTTCATGAGTCAGACCCTATTGACTTCACTCCTTATTTGGACAAAAGGTTTCCCCTATGGGAATCAAATACCAAACTGCGATACAAACCAAGGGCCAGATACGAAGTCTTTTTACTGGACTGCCACTTAATCTTCTATGGCTTTTTTTTTAATCTCACCTGCCAGGAGAAACAGCACTATAGTTTTGGCACCAAGTAGGTGTTGACACAAAGCCCACAGCATATGCAGCTGTGGGACTGCAGTACCTGCTTTGGTCCTCACGGCAGTGCAACCGTGGCAGCCTGTGAAGCTGCCAGTACATCTTTGTGCCAAGTCAGAAAACATCTCCCCACCCACACGAGGCATAATGATATTTATGCATCATTTGTACTTTCACGTGATTTTTTTTTTCCTCCTACAGTTTCACTCATGAGAAAGAAGGGAGCAGAAAAGATATTTTATTTTTCTCATTAAAAAATGTGTTAAGAAATCATAGGCAATAATAATACTATCATTCTAATAAGTTTTTTACAGGTATATTTATTGGAAAATAAAACTAAGTTTGCAAGTATAACTTTCACATAATTTGATACATTTTGACACTTCTGTAACTCTGAACAGCTATGTTCTCTCCCCAAGAACATAATGCATTCCATTTTTCATCACCCCAAACGTATGATCTCACCAAGAGGAATACAAATCATCTTAATAGAATAATACATGCAATTGGGAAAATATACATAGCTGTTTATCTAAAGTGTTTCTAGAGATGCATCCACAGTATCTGCCTTTTTTTGTTGATCCTGAGTTTGACACATTCCAGTACTCTCTAACAAGAGGGTTTGACAAAAGCAAGCAGAGGATGTATGGTAGAGTCTACCGATAAATTTAGGAGCAGAGGCTAGAAAAGGCTGCACATACACAGCATAAAATAAAATAAAATACCGCACTTGAAGGTGCAGAACCCCTGATGAATAACAGTCCTCCACAGAGATCTGAGCAATCTCTTGCTCAACCATGCAACACCAAGTACGAAAAAAACAAAACAGTCCCCCAAATCTCTAGGCAATCTCCACATTCTCTTCATATGCAACTGGAAATCATGGGGAATCCCTAAGCAGAAATACATTTACTTTCTGTAAAAATCCATGCAAATAAATAAATTGCCATCTTATAAGCCTCTAAAACGTTAAAACAGCATTGTATTTGAAAATACTTTAGGTTTGTGGCTCTCAACCTGCAACTCAGTAAAAACATTTGCATAATCAGTTTATCAAGGCATATTTTTAATGAAAATTTCCATCAAAGTTTTGAACATTATGTAGGTACTGCTTAGAAAAGGATGATATAAATATGCCTGTCAAGTGTCCTCTGCATTATTTATTTTGGATACTTAGGTTTACTGTAAGAGACAAACGATAAGTATTCTATCATAAGCTGACTACAGATACTGCAAAGGCAGATAAAAACTGGGGGTGAGAAAGTGGTTAAACCATTTAATGTTGTAGTTCACCCACTAAGAAAATAACTCAAATGTTTGTTTTGGGTTTAAAATGCAGTTTTCAGGTATGATATTAGGGAGAGGAGAGAAGAGGAGAGACTAGAGAAGTATCCATATGAAGAACATTTTTCAACTGTACCTGTAAACATACCTATTTTTTTGTAGAACAATTCTTATTGCTTGACTATTTTAGACCTATGCTAATGGAGTAGCATAGGCCTGGATATATCTTTCTAAGGAAAGAAAGAAAAGAAAAAAGATTTGAAGTAAGGCATCCTGAATTTTCAAAGGGCGCTTTCTTGTAATCTATTTGCTTGGATAATGCGTCCAGAGTGGCATTTTGTAATGACAGCAACTTTCCAACAAATCAATAGTTATTTAATTCCCAACAAGCTCTCGAGTCCATTAAACCTGATTACATTCACCCATTTCAGTTGGGTGCAGTTATTTTTCCTACACCGGCACTTAATCTATAACAGGAACTTATGAGAACTTTCAAAAGCAATTTCAACATCAATCAGCATAGAGTGAAAGGCACGATTTGCTTGTAATTATTTATTGGACAGGATGGCACAGGGTCTGACGGAGCTCTAGCATCTGACCTTCACCCCCAAATTCTAATGGATACGAAGGCCTGCTTGATGTCTTCAAGTGTGCTACCGTGTGTCAGTGCATAAAGAAAACAGCAACAGCTTGCATGTCACAGGCAACGCAGTTTTTCAATACCTGACAATGGCCACTGTGCAATGCTACGTTTCTATTTTAGACATGCCTGATAGTAAGCCTGAAGTGAAGAATGCAACTCACCGTCCTCAATTGCTGAATGGACCTATACAGAAAAAACCCTGTTCCACGCTGTGACTGCCCCTCTGCACCAGCTGTTGCTGTTGTGATAACGAAGCATAATGAAAATTTACCTCTCCTCCTCAGTTAGCTTGACTGACTACTAGCATGACGCAGAAATGCCAAAATACATGCGTCTCTCTCTTAACCCTGTTAACGTATAATATCTAACTACTGCCTTTTATAGGGTACACTGTTTTTTTAATTTTGTCAATACTGGGAAATGTTACTTGAATTCTTTCTTAAAGTCTTCTAATACTGTAAACAACAGAATACTTTTTGCTTAATTTGTGTCTACATGATGAATTCAAAATTCTGACTAACAGCAGAAAATTCAGTAGTATCACTTTTTCACTAAAATATATTAAAATAAAAAACATACAACACAATAACTAAATCTAGTAATTGCCAGTTAACTTCTAAAATACAGAGTTCTCTCCCTGAAGCAAGATCTTACATTTCCAGGGCTCAAAAGAATTAACACGATGTATTTAAATATTTTGTGAAGGTGATATATTTCTATACACATAAAAACACAAACCCTTTTCCAGTGTGATGACTAACATATGAATTAATGCATATTTAACACTATTCATATTCGCTGTGCTAAAACACTTAACCTAAACACATCATGGTAAGTTACTTTGTCTTGTGATCTGCCGTGGGAATGCTGACTCCCTCAGAAACCTAGAATGGATAGCAAATCCTCTGCCCTGTGGTCAACCTCGTGAAGCAAAGGCATGAATGTTAAACAGCAGACAAATCAATACAAGCAAATATAGCTCAACTACACCATTTATTCAGCCATGAGAGATGTCAATACACAGATTAGGGTGATCCATCTTTTTGATTTCCTACTGTCTTCTCACTGACTACATGAAAGCTTTTGCCTGTATTAAAAGTGTTTGCTTTCTCAACCATAAAAATTCCAATTATTACTCTAAGTGCACTAGAGTTAAGTTGCTTGTTGGAAGCGGCCTTGCATTACCTGAACAAGTCCAGCGAAGTATGGTGCTGCCGGCAGAATCATTGGCACTCCATATGGATGTAGCAAAACTCCTTGAGACGACAACATGGTTTAAGTGATAGTATTACTCCCACTAAAGCTAAACACATCAATTGAAAGTTAGGGGAAAATCTATATACCAACTTCTTCCAAACTCAGAGCTAGAACCAAATAACTTCTGCCAGGGGCAAAGCCCACATCAGCTGTAAAAAAAAGAAAAAAATTGACGTCAGCAACACTTAATGTTAAAATTTTCTTCAGAGACAACAGATAGAGACAACAGCTGCAAACCTAACTCTCCCAAAAAAGGAAAGTGCTATTTTGGGACCAGCTTAAGTAACATGATGAACTATCTACTCTTTATCAGTTCAGATTTTTACGTACTATACACATACAAATCAAATTCTGTACAGATCTACCAATTAGAATTAATTTTCTTATCAGTTCTGGCACATGCATGAAAACAGTTACTCTTAGAAGCCATTTAAAATTAATCAGGTTTATCCTGATTGCGTAAATAAGTGTTTATCTGTATTTATAAGCTGTTAAACAATATTCATTTGAGAGTTTAAACTTAAGTCTGTTACCTTGGCTACATATTCTGGTTTGATTCATTATATTTTTCTTGCTTATTTTGAATATTTGAACTAACTAATGCAAGCTAACTACTTTTATTAGTGTAAATTATATTTTAATGGCTTTTCTAACCTTTCACAATATCTATGTTGTTAGATTTATCATAGCTCTTTTCAAAAGAATGAATTTGACCTCTAGAGTATTTCATATCTGTTCGCCAATTAAATTTACACTCTTAGTCTGAGAGACTAAAGAGTGAAATTCAGGCTGGTTCCCCTCTCCCCATTACACACAGCCCCTCCCCCCGGCCCCTGCAAACAAAACATGTTTGCTTTTAAATGTACTACTTGCAAGACATTCTCTTCCACAACTAACCATCTTTACTTTAGATGAAACAAACTTAGTCGTTAACACCTGTTTCATTTGCAATGTATCTTCTATTGCAAGTATGACTTCTGACAAGAGTTACAACTGAGCAAGATATTTTAAGTTCAATGAAGAATTTGTTAGGTGCTTAAAACCTCATTTTACAAGTGAAAAAAAAAACCACAAAACAACAAAAACCCAAACAAAAAACCTCCCCTACAGTCTTCAAATAACCAGGGTGCTTCATATGACTAATTTCAGTCACTTGATTTTTTTGCATAATTTCTTTTCCAGATTACTGATTGCAGACAGGATTTTATGTGATACTCAATTATTTAATAACACATTTTGACCATTGTGAAAGGTTTTAAGTAACTGATTCTCATGTATCAAGGCAGCCATGTTGCATGATTTAGAACTCTACCTTAGCAGCTGCATGTTGGCCTTCATTACTATTAGCCTTATACCATTTCTATCTTTAGATGTTGAATTGTGAGCCTGTATGATGCTCTTCTGGGAGACTGCCAACAAGGACAGCAACTGTCACATGATGAACTGATGTTTACCTAGTTCTATCTCCTGTTATAGAACCGCTTCACTTTTCTGTTGGGGACAATGCTGTTGACACTGGTGATCTGAATATGATTAGCTATTAATCCCATCTCTTACTCTTTTATTTATTAAGGAACAGAACCCTCCAGTTTAATTACGATGCACACAGTAGGGTGACACATCATGGGTTTTGCCAAAAAGAATTTCATAAGTTCCAATACAAAACCAGTTATTAACTTTCATACAGAAATACATAAACCAAAGGCATATATGAGAAAGTGAGTTGCTTTTACAATTCATTTGAAGTACTTAATTTATTTTAAAATGTTAATTTTAGCTATTACCTATTTGTTTGGTCTAACAGAACGATCTGCACTTCAACAGAAAAAAGATCTTCTATCTAGGAACGGAGATAATAAAATGGATTCTGCCAGCTTTACCAAAATAACTCCAGTGGGACAATTGACATGAATAAGGATTGTTAAATTGCTCTATAAAATACCTAGCGCCTTTTTTTTTTTTCCACCACATATATATTTGATAAGATGTTAGAAAACATAAAACGCAAGATGATTTGTACAGGGAGGCACAGGCTCAAGGGAAGCTTTTCTGTGATCTGTTTGGGACAGCTTTTGCTTAACAAGTTCATTAATGAACTTGGCACAAGGCAACATGCTGATGAAATTTCCTGAAGACAAAGTTGGGACGTACTGTCAAGATTGCTAAGGATATTATATAGAAAGAATTGCTCAACCTTATGGACTGCATTAATAGAAAAGGGATGAAATTCAATAATACAAGACATAAGGTCATGTTTCTGCTAATAACAGAAGCTTCAGTTCTAAACTCACAAGGAAAAAAACAGGACCCCACTGCATCTGTTTAAGGACTTTAAACTGATAGTGTGATGCAAATATGAAAAAGTTACATTTTAATTTTATTTATTAATTTCTTAGAGATACTTCCAATAGCATACTTTTTTTGGTTTTTTTACTGTGGGTGAAAAAAACAAGTTAAATTCAAGTACAACAGCTGCAGTGGAAATCCTTTTTGTATTGTTCAAGGGAATGGAGCAACTGTGTTGTAACAGGAAAGTTCCATTTGTTTACCGTAGCAAAACAATCTGTGAACAGGGAAGAGAACAGGAGGAGGAAGAGTCTGTTTAAGCTAAGGACAATCCTGACATACTAAAAATTAAGGAAAAACTAGTTATGAATAAATTTAGGCTGAAAATATTTTTTGAGTTACTTTAAAAAGGTAGTTTGGTATTGGTTAAGTGAAGATATAGAATAGCCATCCAAATCCACAGTAAACAAAAAAGGGTAGATTAAAAAAGAAAATTATATGATCCAATAGTAGTGGTAGTCTGAACTCAGCAATTTACAGGAGGACCCTCTTCCAGTCCTTTGCAAGTAGTATAAACATTCAAGAATAATGAAAATATCAATTGTCTAAAACGCATTTATATTTACTAGACTGCATATATAAAACAAACGTTGAAAATAAACTGTAGTTACCTGTTTTAATGAAAGGATGCTTTGCTTGCCTCACTATAACAACATGCTTCTAAATGTATAGCTGTATGGCACTCCAAATCCAAGCTCTGACTTTCTGGTTGGGCTCTTTGATGATGTCCCATGTGTGCACCAGCTACCTAAGTTCGCACAAACCTCTGTGAACCAAAACCACAGAAGTACAATACAGCTTTACTTGCATCGCCGCCCCGTGCCAAATTCTGAATTTACGCCAATGCAACTACATCAGCTTCACCAGTTTATACCAACATATTTGTCCTCCCTCCCAGCCACACAAAAATGAAATTTGTCTTAAGTTTTACCGTTCATGTTACTTAGTATTAATGGTCACTCAAGACCTTGTTCTGCAAGAATATATTGAATACATGAAATTTGATCATGAGGAGTTCTGAGGACTAAAGCAATGAGCCAAAAGAGTATTAAATATGCTAATAATTCCATTTCACTTTAGCAGGACCTGTAGTATGATTAAGGTTAAGCATGAGCCTAAACATTTATGCTAGGACAAAGCCAGAATGGTCACTACTAGGCACATCAATCATCTGTCTAAAGCCACTGATGGTGACAGTACTTACTTCCTGCCTACTCCAGGGACCTTACTTCCTGCAAAAAATCAAGTATGTGTGTGGGTGGAAAAGGGGAGATCATCTATTTTAAACAACTATACAGCTTTCACTTCCATTACAATCTGGAAAATTACAATGGTGTTAAAAAAAAATGACATGCTAAGCCATTTTCAATATGGTAAAGGAGGGCATGGTTTATTCAGCTCTTTCCAAACCTGGTTGACTTTTTTTTTTCCCCAAGAATTTTCTGAAACTGAAAACTGATTTTAAAAATGAAGGAGAAATGAATAAGAAAATAGATTAAGACTAGTTTTATATATAAATTATATACACAAATAAAATATACACTCTTATTTGTTTCACTTCTGCATAATTTTGCTAAAAGGCAGGTAATATTTATTAAAATGAATCTTCAGTTTTAAAAATTAGCAGCAATATAAAAATTTAGACACGTTGGGCTGAAAACTCCCAGATGATACTACCTGAATCATAGCTAAGAAGCTTGTACAATACATGCCTTTTTAAAAATCTTGTTAAAGACTATTTTTGCACCAATAATACAAGGCTTTGTTTGACTTGATTAATGTAAGACACTGTAATTATTCTACACAGAAATTAACTGAACAATCAAACTTTCAAATTCTGAAAGAGTAGTCCTGTTATGAACTTGCCTTCTTGAAGGAAACTGGTTTTAAAGGCATAGGTTAAGCAAGCCAACGTTGCAGTAGAAGTTCACAAAATACTCAGGCCCAGCAGTATAAGGAGGTAACCTCATGTGTTAACAGAGAACTGAAGCTACTGAGAGAAGTGCTCTAATAGTGATTTTACTGCAGACTTCCTAAAAAGTCATTTGAAATGGGAAGGGAATGGATACCACTGTACAGTACAGATGCACACACAAAGAAACAAAGCCAGAAGAATGCCTGAAACCTGGGCTACACATTCAGGCACAACAAAAGTAATGAAAATGATGCAAGGCCTCATCAGATCTCACCTGCATGAAATCTCTAAATGGCATATTAGACAAGGACCAAATATTCCACTAGGGAAAAGCAGATGCCTGATTTGGATATGGTTCAAGGAAAAAAAAAAAAAGAGACTTCAGCATCTTCCCTGGAAAAGGCAGATCCCTGCAATAAAGTCTGTCAATGATGTATGCTCTACTTAGACCATCTCTTTCTGACAAAAAAATTAGTTATTAATGTTAATACCTAGCTCAAAACACCCCAAACAATGATTCTTCCAAATGTTATACAACACAACAAACTTCAAATAATTTCTACTTCCTTCCAACACCGGCCTAACTTTCCCATCTCACAGGTCATAAATAATTCAGGTACCACTTTGGCATCCTCTTCATAGCTTATCATGTTCGATTCCTTTAAGAGCTTCTTCAAGCCTCCTGTTTTCTGGCCACATTTCCTATTCTCTGAATTATCTTTATTTTCTCTTTACTAGAAAACCACTGAGAAATCTTAAAGGGAAACCCCAGAAGTGACAGGATGAAGTAGTTTCCAAATCTCCACTACCTTCCATCATCCACATCAACTTTACACAATTGTCCTTAAAAAAAAAAGTATTACCAGATCTTTTGCATGCGTCAAAGAAAAGGTGAGCTGCCATTGATTAGCATTGCTTGAGATAAGTAGATCCAGGAATTAAATGAAATATTGGTAGACAGAAAAAGCTGTTCTGCATGTCTTCCCCCACGCTCCCAACTACACTTGTCTTTCAAAGACTATTTCCACCTTTCTGCAAAAAACAGTTGGGACCAAAGGCTCTTCAAAGACACCAGAAGCCCTATCCAGACTTGACTCCTGTCCTCAGCTGCTGACTCTATTCCACTCTTCCAAGCAAAGCTTGGAGATGTTCATGCTAAGTATGAACTCCCCAGCCAACTCTTGTTATACTTACCAGCAGAAACAAAATACAACGTGGGTATTTTAGTGACTTTTAAAGTAGAAAATATCACATATACAAATCAAAGATATTTACTCATCTCATACTAATACATGTATAGCAGTCAGTTTATCAAGTTTACACTGGTGTATAGGACAAGGATCTAGAAACTGTTTACAACTGGGAGAGTCCATCTTTTTCAAGTATGTGGAACACTGCTGGGATACAGCTCATTTGGTATTAACACATTTTTCTTCCGCGCTTAAAGTTTCTATTTGAAAACTACATTAGCTCCTAGGAGCAAATTAAAACCTAGCTGCAGTTCAAGAGGAAACTAGCTGATTCTTTCAATCAGAAAACAACAATGCTTCAGTTCCAATGAAGTTCAACTTACTAGTCTTTTTCTTCTAAATATACAATCGTGACAAATTTAGAGATTTCAAAGACAACTA